AAACATCGCACGACGCTGAACAGATCCCAGCGATGACAACTGATGTTGAAACCGAGTGGCAGCTCTTTAAGAGCGGCATCCTCGAGGCTGCTTCTGAATGCTGCGGATATGAACAGCTTGGCCTGCCGGCTGGAAGTCAGAAAAGAACTTCATGGTGAACACGAGAGGTACAACTGGCGGTTATAGTGAAGTAGGCGCCGTTCAAGAAATGGCTTGGAAGCAAAGAGCATTTTACTCTCGTACGATATATCGAGGAGCGCAAGGCGGCAGCAAAAGCGGTGGCAAAAGCCAAAGCTGATTCCTGGGAGAAGTTCGGTGAGGTGTTGGAGTCGAATTTTTACACGGCTTACAAACTGGTCTGGTAGACCATCCGCCAGCTCCGAGGTGAGAAGAAGGGCAGTCTCAGAGTCTTGAAAGACAGGTCTGGATACCCTCAACCAAGGATGATGAAATTCTTCGGGGATGGAGGGAGCACCTCGAGGAACTCCTTAACCCCGCGCAACAGCTGGAAGACTCGCCTGTAGAGCAGAAGGGTACGGATGTTACTGTCTCTGTAGATGAAATTGCACAGGCTGTGAAAAGATTGAAAAATGGAAAAGCTGCCGGAATTGACGAAATCCGCCCTGAGATGCTCAAGGCATCAGACGAACAAGGCATGTGCTGGCTAACACGCATCTGTCAAACTGCGATGACTGCAGGAAAGACACCAGCGGACTGGAAAACGGAAGTTATTGTACCCGTATTCAAGAAGGGAGAAAACAAGGAATGCTCCAATTATAGGGGCATAACGTTATTGAGCCTCCCAGGGAAAGTCTACGCGAAGGTGCTTGAAAGGAGGTGCAGCGAAATATCGGTCCTCAAGATACAAGAAGAGCAGTGTGGCTTCCGGCCTTGGCGAAGCAACTCTGACCATATATTTGCCCTGTGCCAGATTGTTGAGAAATCGTAGCAGTACGCCCAGCCGGTTTACATGTGTTTTTTGGACCTAGAGAAAGCGTATGACCGGATCCCACGCAACGGTCTGTGGTCATGCATTCGGCCATACGGGATAGATGGCGAGCTGCTAAGAGCCAACCAATCACTGTATTCTGATAGGAGGTGCCACGTCGAAGTTCATGGAGTTAAATCGAAACTATTCAACGTTCGCACTGGTCTCCGACAAGGCTGCGCCTGGTCCTCTATCCTGTTTGTATTGCTCATAAATCGAATAGTCAAGAGCTGCCAAGGCGAGGAGAGTATCGGTGTTGGATTTATGAAGTCAATAAAGTTGCTGTATGCAGGCGACCTTGTTTTATTAGCATCTTCTGAAACTGATCCTCAGTGCTCTCTCGAATGGCTCGCAGCCGAGTGCGACGTGACCAGCATGCGTGGGAACGCATCTTAAACGTAGCGCGTTGTGCTTTTGAGTTCTCCTGCTCGTTGCACTCCTCAGATTAACGCAGAGGCAGTATAGCAGTTGGAGAAGTTCGTGTACCTCGGAGTCGTACTTACTAGTGATGGAAAATTAGAGGAGAAGATCGACCAGCGAATTGGATTAACCAGTGGCGTTCTGCTGAACTAGCCCGACCCATTGTGACTAAAGCAGAGCTCAGTCGGAAGAATAAGTTCTCTATGTTCAAGTCGATCTTTATCCCCATACTTACCTACGGTCATGAATCGTGGACAATCACTGAAAAACTTCGAACCCTGGTACAAGCTGCTGAAATGGGCATTCTTAGACGATTCGCTGGCCTTACGCGTCTCGACGTGGTCCGGAGTAGTGACATTCAGAAGAGCCTTGGAATACAGCCTTTGCTTCTCCAGATTGAGAAGTCACAGCTGCGATGGCTTGGGCGTGTGTTGCGACTGCCTCCCGAAAGGAAGGCTAATCAGCTGTTTCTTGCAAAGTCGACCAGCGGAAGGCCCAGGATACGGAAAAGATTAACATTGTGCAAATATATGGAAGGTGTCTGTTCCAGACTCCAGTTGTCTTCGGATGAAACTCAGGTTCTGGCGCAGGATCGGTAAAGTTGGAAGCTCTGTCTGACGCGTCTGCCTCTGCGAAGAAGCGACGATGCAAGATGAAGAAGATAAGTCTTCGTATGATCGTTGTGTGAACCAATTATGAAGGTCTGTTTGATCGAGAAGTTTCATCCTGAAAGCAATGATGGGTGAAAACTATGTATGTATTGCAACGAGCTGGTTCAAAGGAAAATTATTATTTTGATTATTATATGTGTTATTTATGATTACTTCTACAATGATTGTTACAATAGGTAGCGGATAACGGCAGATGAATCTTTTTGACTCTTCGAGGTTTAAAAAAGGGTAAATCCGAAAGCATTCAGCTTAGCACGACTAATTCACGACTATCGTTCAAAAGGCCAGTTCAGGAATGTAGCGGTAAGCTAAAGCTTGAATTAAATTCGAAATTTTTGATCCTTATGGCTGTTCAACTCCCTTTTGAACTAAAGCAGCGCAGCTCTTGATTCGAGAGTTCACAGCCATCATATTGCGTAACAAATGTAACCGATGCACTTTTCTTGAGCTACGGTACCTCAAAGTCAGCGGATCATCAGTTCCAATTTATTTCTTT